CATGGTCAACATGGTGAAACCCCGTCTCTACTAAAAATACAAAAAATTAGCTGGGCATGGTGGCGCGTGCCTGTAATCCCAGCTACTCAGGAGGCTGAGGCAGGAGAATTGCCTGAACCCAGGAGGCGGAGGTTGCGGTGAGCCGAGATCGCGCCATTGCACTCCAGCCTGGGTAACAAGAGCGAAACTCCGTCTCAAAAAAAAAAAAAAAAAAAAAAATTCATTTGATATATTAGTTCTTCTTGGGCCTTAAAGATTAAAAGCAAGAACATTTAAAAATTGAACATTCAGCATTATAAATTTGATCAGTTAAGGTATTTTCTCGTTGTGGAGATATAAGTTACCATGTGATCTGCCCTACTGTTCTGGTCTGAAATTTAAATAAAACAGAAGTCAAAAACATTTTGGAGAGGAGAAGATAAAAAGGCAGGCGTTAATACAGATGTTTTCAGAAAGAATTATCCTCTAAATTGCTTGTCTATCTTTTAAACAGTTACTAGGAAACAGATGTGGTCATAGTGATTATAGTGATTATATCCAAATAATGTCATAAATGAAGGTGGCTCTGATACTTAATCTCCAGTCACATTCAATTTCATACTCTTAGTATTACACCAGATGCAGTACATGCAAGAATGCGGTGTACATACATATTAACAGAATGGCCAAAGCAAAACCAAAGCCAGGGACTGTAGCCTTAAATTACTAGCCTTCTTCCTAATTACTATCACTATTAAAACTCAAATATCACAACCATTGTCAAGTATGTGTCAAAGATAGGGAAGGACTGACCAGGGATGCAATATATTCTCACTATGCTTGAGAGAAGAAAAATAATGTTTGCCTTCTTTAGAAATGAATCCCAGAGATTGGTCCATAGTGTGGCTTCTGTAGGATTACACAAAGTACCTTTGACACATATTATGTAATATTATTTATTTTAAGTAACTAGTACTGGATTAGGATTACAATCCTTTGTTGTAATACTGCAAACAATTTCTGACTCAACAGTGAAATAATTCATTAATCAATAAAGATTTCTTAAGCATTTTTCACGTACCACAAATAGTGGGTTGATTGAAGTTATGAGATTCACTGATATATTTATTTAACAAGTACCCATTAGGCAACTTGTATAAGACAACACCAGATGAGCACTATGAGTGAAGTGATACTCATAGATAGAGAGAAGTAATACTACATGGTCACTGGCCTCAGAGAATTCTCTGGTGAGTTACTTATGCAGAGAAGCAAAAACATTTCAATGAAATCTGTGACTGAGTGTAAAATACAGATGACAAATGCTGTAGCTATTTAGGTCTTTAAGAGAAACGGGGGCATTTTGTGGAAGAGGTGGAATTTGATCAGTTCCTATGTGATGAGTGAGCTTTGGGCAGCAAGGGATTTCTTTCTGGGGAGGGAGAGGGGGCAGACTGGTGGGCTGGGGAGAACGTGGTCAGGGAAGTTGGTGCCAAGGAATTAGTGCTCATAATGCAGGGGAGAGCTTTGTGGACAAACCTGGTAAGAATATTGCAGATGATCTCTTAGGAATGCTGGCCCCTAAGTAAAAACATTCATGAATGAGAGTACTTAGCTCCCTTTACAAAATTGGAGCCTGTCGTGAACAATGAGAGCTATTTTGCTCTCTGAGGATGTTTCAGGAGCCTCAGACCAATGGTTCCGCATATAGACTCCAGTGAATTTTCCTTCCTTCTTGATGCTGCTTTGCTACTGAATCCTGTTCCATGAGGGGTTCCCTCTTCTTGGTTTTCCTCGCCAGTCCTCTATCTTGTGCTATGATCCTTGTGACTCTGCAACCCTTTGCCTTGACATATCGGCCCTGACTTCACGCCCTGTGTTACAACCTGTTGTAACCTTGGGCAAATTACTTTCCTTCTCTTTGCTTCCATTTTTCATTTGGAAAATGGGAATAAAAATATTACCTACCCTATTGTAAGTTGTAAGGATTTATATATATATTTAGAACAGTGCTGGGAACTGATTAAGTGCTATCGATGTATTAAAAGGCATTAAGTATTATTTGGCTAGTTCACAAAGATTTTTCTTGTTCATTTGCTGAATAAACACAGATCTAAAAGAGTAGAGAGTGTGCAAAGTAGAAATGTTGGAATGTAGTACACTCTCAAACAGTTTAATATCAAAATACAGAAGAATTCAGGGCAGAGAATTTGCAGTATTAATTCTTAGTGTAACCTTCCAGGTTATTGATGAACCAACCTTATTGTTGAAATGATAAAAGTCTCAACTAGCATTTACCCACCAACTGTTAGTTCATTTTAAGAAAGTGAGTTTTCTATACTTCTTACTATCTATCTCTAGAAAAATAGCTACCAGAAATACATTCATATAACATCACACATTCCAGAAATTCTTCTTAATAAAACAGTTCTTCACTTTGAAGCAGAGTGCATAACCAAAAATTTGTATTAATCTCGGTACCAAGAACATTAATCAAATCACCAAAGGAATTTATTATGGAGTCATGAGTATTATCCTTTGCTCTGTAAAAAATTTCCTCTGACATTAGGAAAGTAGAAGTAGATGTGTTCTTGTGGCTACAATTTCTAAATGTTAAATATGTTAAATCTTAGGGTCCTCCAACATTCATTCTTTTTCTGTACATTTTGTGTCTTTGGTGACTCTTTTTCTCCTTTTTGAAAAATGTGATGTATACAGCTGAAAGTGGTGAGAAAGAGAAAGGGAGGTGGGAGAGAGAGAGAGAGAGAGAGAGAGAGAAAGAGAAGGGAGAACGACATGGTGAGAGAGAGCGAAGACTAAAACATTGATTATTTGCAATAAGAACCATTGAGGGTCTTCTTTACTCTTCAGTAAGAAATACCATTTAATTTTTTAAATGTAGGGTTGTTTGCACCAAAAACTATGCGTAAGCACTTATGTTTGGCATTTCTGCTGGAATGCTTTAATTTTGTGTGTCTATTATTTTATAGCTGACTGTCAAACTCAGATGACTTTCTATGCTTGTACTTAATGCATAGAATTGTATTTAATCTAAAAAAATTTACACTGAAATTAACATTGCATATTTATTAAAATTTGAGTACAAAAATAAGAGAGCATCTAGCCCAATTTTTTAATTATTTTCATTTTTTCATTATTTTCTAAATAATATTTTTTTCATTGCTTAATGTGAGAGGTCATTGTGCTGTTTATTCCTTTATTATTCATTTTATACAAAGGTTAAACTTTAGCTAAAGTAAACTTTACTAATGAATTTTTTCATTAAGACTTGGCTACATTTATCATTGGGTTCTGCCTTATTTACCTAGCAACTCTGAATCATTCCCGTAGTCAACAAATTTTACTGAGGACTTCATAGAGTCCTTGATGAGGGACAGCCCTTCATAAGATCAAGATAATCTTATGAAGTTTTATAATTGATTTTGTAAGAGTTGAGATTTGGAGACATTCTGGCTATGCCATCTGAAATATGCTTTTGTGTATACAAGATCTATTTCCTAGACTTTGAGATGACATCAAGAAAGCGGCTCTCTCTCTCTTGCGGGGGAAAAAGCACCAGTTTACTCCAGTGTTGCCTGAAGATCCAGTGCCAGCACTTCTTCTGCATTACTCACCCTTCACTATTTTTTAAATCACAGAAATGTAGAATAGTAAAGATCATCTAGTTATAATACCTACTTTTTGCCTGTGAAAGTAAGTGCCAACAACGATTGACTAACTACTACATACTGACATATGTATGCATTATTTCATTTAAACCCCACAGCAGTACTGCAAAATGCATTATTTTCATCTGACAGAAGAAATGAGGCTCAGAAATTGAGACTTGGAAAGATCAACTGACCTGCTTAAGGTTACACAGCTAGTAAGTGGAAGACCTGAATTTAAGGATTAGGGAGTGAAACAAATTATTTAATGTAATTTACTGTCTCCCTTTTGCACGCACACTTTAGAGAAAAGAAATTTTGTTTGCATTTTTTTCAGAGAAGTATGGTTGGAGTGGAAAGTGAGTTCAGAGAAATAATTTACTGTAAATCATTGAAAAGATTAAAAAATGATTTAATAAAAGAATTTTCTAAGAATGGTTGGAATTTACACTATATCTGAAAGATATGGTGAAATGAAATTGATGGTAAAGGACTGTTTTTCAGTGTGAATGTTTGAACATGTTAGATAATGCTGGCAAAACACTTCCTTCTAGATCACTTAATATGCATCCTCCATAATCTTAGTCACATTCATCAGGTCTTTAGCCCAGCAAGTCCCAAAAGGGGTTCTGGAGCTTTCATAGCAGAAACTACTAATTCTTCCTTATTCTCTATTCTCTTCTTCTTTTAAAAATAGTAATAGAGGTTTCACCTGAGCATATGATCATGTCTCTAAAGACTACATTTCCCAGCCTCCCTTGTAGCTAGTTGTGATCATGTGATCAAGCAATAGCCAATGGAATTTTAGTGAAAATCGTGTGACCAATTCCCAGGTCATTTGCTCAAAATAGAAAATGCAGTATGTCCCCTTCTTTTCTTGTCTCCATTGAGTGGAACATGAGTGTGATGGCAGGAGCTGGGGCTGTTATGGATGAAAAGTTGCTTTTGCAGGACCACTGAGCAACAGGATAGAAGGAGCCTTGAAACCAGCATATAAGCCTTGGGCTGCTTTTGTTCTCTCAGAGAAAGAGGTAAACACCTACCTTATCTAAACCAGTTTTCAACATAGACAATCCAAAACCTAAACTTTTTCAGATATTAATAAATAAAACTTAAGAAAAGTTTTGGAAGCATTTACATTAAGAAGTTAGAGAGGTTTCTTTTTTATTACATGACTTCTTAGAACTTTTATTGGACAGCCATGTGATCAAGCCTTGGCCAAAGGAATATGAGTGAAAAAAATGTGACCTTAAAGTGGTTAGAATGAATCTCGAAGAAGAGGTGTGTAGTGTTTCTAATATTTATTTGATTATGAAATTCATTTTAAAAATTGAGCTTCCTATGGACCGCACAATATGTGGAATGGATTTTGAGAACTGAAGCTTTAGCAAGTACAACTTTAGGAAAGCTCTTAGTGGCTGAGCTTAAGATAAATGTTGAAGGCAGTGGTGGGCGTGAGGAAGTTGTGATATAGAGAGCCATTCAATTCCACATATCATTATGGAGCACTAAGTATTGAGGAGATAAAGATATATTTCGTTGGAAAGAAAATGAAATCAGTTATTGTTACAGATACTCAACTGACATTAAGACGAATGAAATAATTTCTAAATAAGAAGTGGCTCAGGTTCCTTGTGTGATAACCTGTGAGAAGTAGGGATAGGAGAAGGGGCAAGATAGTCCTCTGTGGCATCTTCTGAATTTACATATGTGTGGGGCTAAAAGTCATTATATAGTAGAAGAAGTTGCTGGATTTGCAGTGCAGACATATTATTTTCTTTCTTTGGTATAGTTGTGAGAGGTGCCTAGCAGAAAAACAATAAATCTTGACCAGGTAATCTCTCATGGCCATCACTGTTTGGGGCACATAGATATTGAGTTATTTACTAAGATACCTAGATTGACATGTACTGCATAGTTCTGGAAAGAGAGACTTGAAGTTGGGAGAGATAAGAAATCTGGAGAAGTGTTTCTGGAAGTCCTTTCAGTGCCTCTGAACTTGTACCTCTAAACTTAAAGTTAATTAAAAATAAAAGCAGTTAGCATCAGAGCAATAACGGAATACATAAGAAAAACAGAATCAAAGATTCCAAGGTGAGGTGAGTAGTTTTTGTGACAAGACTACATTTAAGGAGCAAATCTGGAGAGAAGGAAATGAAGGGAAGATTGCTGGTTTTGATCATTAGGAAGTTGTTGGTGATTGTGGTGGAGTAGAGTCAGGTCAAAGCAATGGTTGCTCTGCTTTGAAGAGTGGATAACTCTGAGGAGGGAGATGAGGCAGGGGCCAAAACATGCTAGGACACGGATGAGACATACCCTCTTTGCTGGGCTGATGCATAGAGTTTTAAGGGAGAGGGCCACTTTTGCTTCCTCTTTACTGGACATGTCTTAATCCAGAAAAGCATTCAAGGACCGATGGCAGCACAGTTAAGGGACAGCCCTTACTACCTCCTGAGCTTCCTCAGAGCCTGCATCCAGGTAACTCAGCTTTGGTGCTACTCTATTTTATAACCAGTAAAAAGAAAAGTGTTACTTTTCATCAGAACAACAGCTTGATTTCATTTAGAATTCCTTAAATTTATTTTATACTTGCCTTTGTGAAAATGTTACTACTGAAACTCAAGCATGTGGGAAAAAAAGGAAGAAAAGAAAGTAGTATTTTAAATGAATGAGATCTAAGTCCAGTCCTCCAAGAACCTTGGAAAGCACCCCTTTATCCTGTTTATTTTATACTTCTCCTCTAGGGATTGTGTCTCTTCATCCATGGAACTATGATGTTAGGTTCCCTTGAAATGTACATAGAGTTGACTCAAACTCCCAACTTCATATTCTGTAGGAAGCTCAATGTCCTCCCCACGATTTCTGGTGTTTCCCAGGGGCACCTGTTCTCATGTGCACTCTAGATCTGTTTTCATATTCCTACTAAACTCCAGATCTTGTCTGTTTGTTTTTTCAAATCTTAGCTCCTGGAGCTTTTCTTATTTCTTTGTCTCATACATACTCCAAAATGAAAAAATGAAAACACCATTCAAAGAAGGCATTGGTGTGCCTAATGGCTTCACTGAAGGTTGCCAGCGACTAAGACAGTTTATCTTGCAGAACCAAACACCCATTCAGCTGTTGCGCTGCATTGCTGCCACTGTAATTTTTTTTTTTTTTTTTTGAGACGGAGTTTCGCTCTTGTTACCCAGGCTGGAGTGCAATGGCGCGATCTCGGCTCACCGCAACCTCCGCCTCCTGGGTTCAGGCAATTCTCCTGCCTCAGCCTCCTGAGTAGCTGGGATTACAGGCATGTGCCACCATGCCCAGCTGATTTTTTATATTTTTAGTAGAGACGGGGTTTCACCACGTTGACCAGGATGGTCTCGATCTCTTGACCTCGTGATCCACCCGCCTTGGCCTCCCAAAGTGCTGGGATTACAGGCGTGAGCCACCGTGCCCAGCCACTGTAATTTTTAAAATTGACCTCCTTTTCTCTATGATCAAACATCCTGTTATGTTGCTGGCCACTGCCCCCTCCACTCTCCCTGATGGCTTGCCCTCTCTCTTTTCTTCATATCTTCTCTGCCCTCCAGATCCTATGAACATCTCATGGAGCAGTCAGCATCAGTTGGTTTTGCAGTTTTTCACATAAAACATTTCCTTGGGCCATACTCCCCCACTTATACCAATCTCTTCAGGTATTTTCCTAAACAAAGGCAGTTCTCTCTCTTTGGGAAACTCTGGTACCAGCTGTTAAAATGACATTTGTTTCCAACCTGCTACATAATTTTAAAAAGTTAAATATGCTATTTATTCTTTAGTAGCTGACATGTCTGGATAATGCTGAAATAATTGCCTATTTTTCCTGCAGCATGTGGTCTGAGTAGGGACTATTATTTGAATGGAGTGAAAAAAGAAAGGTAATTATTATTTAATATGTACAGAACTGCATCCATATTATGCTTAAATGATATTTGTAATTATTATTTACCATGTATAAAACTTCCTCCCTGATATATTAAATCGTACACAGAATATAGCTTTAGGCGTGGTCTATGGGTAGCATGTCTCCAAGTCAGTCTGTTTCCAATAGATGTAAATGTGGGAAATAATCTGTA